ACTTTTCTGAGGGAAATTAGTACACTCTGAACGGAGAGAATCGCCCCAACTTGCTAATTGATCAGGCCAGCGTACTCTAACCTCCCGTCCTCTTCATTTTTCTGGACTACTATTATTATTAGCCCTTGGGTTCCTAGCGGAACATAGAGCTTCGATAACACGTCTCCAGTGAACTCTGTTCGCCCAAATCTTTTGAATCTGGCTCCACAACAGCCCACAACCTCTCATTTCCTCTTCGCGCGATCTCCTCCATGTCACCCTCGGCACCGACGCCCAACTCATCGCTTCCCATGGGGATTCCACTAGAGCAATTGGCCTGACGCGTGACGCCCCCAGTCGGCTTTCTCAGTGTATGCCCAATCCATCTCCACTTCTTCCTGCATATTTGTTGCGTGATAGGTTCTTGGTTGGTTCGTTCCCAGAGCTCCTTGTTGCTTATTCTTGTTATCCCGGCCATCTGATCTTCAGTGGCGAGCGTAAGCAGTTGTTGATGAATGTCTGTAGTTTATCGGAAATCCCTTTCGTAACGCGCCAAGTCTCTGAACTATACAGAAGCACTGACTTGACGCTGGTGTTGAAAATCCGTATCTTGTTCCGCATGCTGAGTGCAGAAGATCTCCACACTGGTTTCAGGCTGATGAACGCCTCCCTTACTTTTCCGATTCTGACCTCGACATCCTCGTCTGTGCCTGTGGCGCCTGTAGTTGTGACAGTGCTTCCTAGATAGGTGAAGGAGGTTACCTCCTTTAGGTTTCTCCCGCTCATGGTGACTGGAGTTTGTTGTTGTTGGAGTTGTTGGTGCGGTATCCTCATCAACTCTGTCTTCTCTATATTCACCTGAAGTCCCGTCTTCGCTGCCCTGTCTATTCTGTCACCTTGTTAGTTTTCGTCTTTAGACCTTCAAGTTTATGAGACATCAGGCACAAGTGATCGGCGAAATCCAAGTATTCTAGGTTCTTTTCCGTGGTCCAGCCGGCGTATCCCCCTTCTTCTCACAGCTCCCCACTGCCTGCTGCATGATCTAGTCCAGTCCACCACAATCAGGAATATCATGGGGGATAGTAGGCAACCTTGTTTCACTCCTGTCTTCACTTCGCTTTAAAGGCATCACTGGGCTTCCTAGTGTGAACTACTTGGCATGTGGCCTCTTCACACAGTTGTTGAATGAGGCGGATAAAGGTTTGCGGTACTCCGTAGTATTGAAGCAGTTTCCAAATTACCTCTCGGTCGACGCTGTCAAAGGCCATCTCAAAGTCGATGAAGATGAGGTAGAGAGCTGATTGCCATTCTATACTCTGTTCCATGATGACGCGAAGCGTTGTAATTTGGTCTGCACATGATTTGTACTTCCTGAAGCCAGCCAGCCTGTTCCGGTCGTAGTTTTGAATCCAGTGCATCCTCAAGCCTCTCCAGGATGATGCGGCTTAATATTTTACTTGGGGTGGACAGGAGAGTGATTCTCCGCCAGTTCCTGCAAACACTGAGGTCTCCCTTCTTCAGCAGTTTGACAAGGTAACCCTTCTTCCAATCAATAGGCGGGTACCTTCTCTTCCTTCCGCACCTTCTGCAATAATGGTGTGAGCATGTCCGCTGTTGTCTCTGCATCTGTTTTCAGTGCTTCTAGCCGGGTCCCATCTAGTCCTGCTGCCTTCCTGCATTTCAGTAGCTTTACGGCGTTCAGGACTTCCATTTTTGTTGGAGGATTTATGTTCACTTGTAATTCAGCGGCTGTAGGTGGTATTTCTGGACGAAGTGCAGGTGGTGGTGGTGGTCGATTCAAGAGCTTCTTGAAGTGATCGGCCATCGTTTCCTTTGTTTCTCTTCTTCCGTAATTAACTTTCCGTCATCATCTTTTATTGGCTTAGTCTGCGTTGATCTATTCCCTTCCAGATAGTAACCTGGTTATTTGATACAATGTTGTCGGGTCTCTCCTACCAGCAGTCAGATTTCCTTCGCTTGCCAATGTGTCGTAGAAGTGTCTTTTGTCTTTGCATGCACTCTTCTTCACTTCTTTGTCCAGTGTTTTATACTTTGTGCTCAGTTCCTCTTGTCGTTGAGCATCCTTGCACTAATGCATCTTCTGCTTCACCATCCTCCTCTCCTCTATCAGCTTCCAGGTATCCGTCGAGATCCATTCCTTGTCTTCTTTCTTTTTCCTTCCTAATACTGTTGTGCAGGTTTCTCTCCATATAGCTTTCATAAACTTCCAGTGTTCTTCCACACAGGCTTCTTCAGGGATGTTGCTCGACGTCTCCTATTTTGTCTTGATGGCTGCCGTGAAGATTTCTCCTGTAGTTTCATCCTTCAGTTTCCGAGTGTTGTACTTGAATTGAGGTCTATCACCAGCTTCCTTGAAGGCTTTTAACTTGATTTGGAAGGTTCCTTGCACTAGATGGTGAGTGGTCTGAACCTACATCTGCTCTTCTTCTTGACCTTGTGTTAAGTAGACTGCGTCTCCATTTTCTTGAGATTGAGATATAGTTGATCTGATTTTTAGTGTGTTCTGGTGTCTGGTGAAATCCATGTCGCTTTGTGGATATCCTTGTGCTTGAACACACTGCCTCCAGTCACCAAATCGTTGAATGCGCAGAATTCTGCAAACAATTCTCCATTCTCGTTCATTTCACCTAGCGCCTCTCGACCCATGGTTAGCTCTCTTCCCGTGTTGTCCCCTCCCAGTTTGGCATTCATGTCACCCATTAGAATTTTGATATCTCCAACTGGGGTCTTGTCCAGTGCTCATTGAAGTTGTCTGTAGAATTCCTCCTTTTTCTCTTGCTCTGCATTATTTGTAGGTGCATAACATTGTATGATTCTGACCTTCCTTCCTTTTGAGTTGAACCTTGCTGTCATGATCCTGGAGGAGATTAGTTCCCACTGCATGAGAGCCTTCGATGCCGTTGGGGACATCATGATAGCCACTCCCTCAGTGTGCTTGTGGTTGTCGTCTGGGTGACCGGAGTAGATTATTGATTCTCCAGTTGACAGTTTGGAGAGTCCACTCCCATTCCATCTGCTTTCGCAAATCCCAAGCACTTCAGTGTGATACCTTCTCATCTCGTTTGCAATCTGGGCTGCCTCGCTGGGTTCAAACATCGTACGGACATCCCATATCTCCATGTTTACTTTCGCTTTCATCGAGAGAAGACACATCGGCCAATTGGCTTCCCGAAGGCTTTCACCAACTGCCGTCATTTCGCCTCTCTGATTCCAGCGAGGAATAATTTTGTTATTATCTTTTATATATCGTCTGTGCTTTGAAGTTTGTATGGCGGTTAGATTTGTTTTACGGGATAGGGTTGCCAGCCGTATGCCCAACCTTCCCTCTTTACCCGAGCCTAGGACTGGCTGGTAACCAGTGGAGGTTAACCAGGCGAGGTTACGTCACCTCATTTTTCTGGACTACTTCAACTAAAACCGATTTTCGAATGTATCACGAGAACCTGATGGTACCCATGCCTGTCATTCTCTCGGACTGCTCTTAAGCCAGCAAAATCAAAAATGATCCCTCATCTTCCCAAATTGACTTCGTATTCAAACCCTCCGACTACCAGATGGCTAATTTGAGATTGAGATGTGAACAAGGCTTGTATGAACTGATTAAATCTGATGACGCTTGTCTCCCCGGTGTCTCTGTGTTTGGTCCGTCCTGGTTTACGCTCTTCTCCAGACCTTTACCAGTTCACCCCACTTCTAGTGATCTCCAGAAAAATCTTTAAGTTGACCTTTTGCCCAAGTAAACTTAGACTTTTTGGTATGGCTCAGTCTCTACTTCTACCTTGCGTCAATTCGTGTTCCCCGTACACTTACTGATCGCTCCTTCTTATTCCTTCCTGGACTCCAGGAAAAAGACCTCGCCGTATTGTCTGATATTTTTAGGACTGTTAGTAAGGCGACTGGTACCGCAGTGACCAGAGTGATAGGTTCATTCGTAAAAATGGACCTTAACACCTGCGAATGGGTTGCTCAAAATATTTCGTCTGACGATGAGTATCCTCCGTATCCACACCTCTCTCCGTGTCCGCCCTCCAGGAGGCCACGTGGCAAATACGCTGAACTTCATACACATGCGACTACATTCAGAAATTCAGCTACGACACATCTGATTTGTATGTTACGTGAAGAAAAGTACATTAGAAAACATCCAGTCATTTAACTTTTCAATAGCAAGCAGTTTTCATAAACCGGCGGTCCTTAGATATTTAAACAATCCTGTTATATATTATATAGGCAGGTTTTAGCATAACCCTAGCATATTCAGAAAATCGAGAACAAGATTTTTGTGAACGCCTTTCTGTTTACGCCACAGCTTCTTCAGCAGAATTATTATTCGTAATCTACTCAAAAACATTATCATTATCAATATATCTGAACAACATAGGACAGAAGTCAAATTGCTGTAATACCACAAGTTGAAGATTCTGTAATACAAACAAGGTAATATTTCTGAATTAAGCAAGTATATTATTGTCGTTAACACCCGCTTTGTCGCTCATCCAAGCCTAAATGTATTACCAAACACAAAAAAAGCATCTTTAAATCTCTTATTCAATAAATAGGTAGCCAGGCGCATGCTTACTTGCTGGAATTTATTTACTCCCGAAAAACTTTCCCTCTGAAGGTGGTTAAGGCTTATTCGTCTGAATACTTAAGCAATCGACTGGATGCAGACTTGCGATGTCAGTATCACTTGAAACACACCTAACATGCCTTTTCTAACCAAATCCCGCCTCAATAACCTGATATGTTCACAGGGCATTAACCAGTTGACCTGCTATGGCACTGTTTCTAGACAGGGAATTCGGTTGAACCAAAGCTTTCGTTATCAACCATTTGATACCAGTATAGAAGAGGTTTGACTACAGCACAAAAAAACTGGAATAAGATGAATAGAACTCAAATATATGTGAAATTGTTCAGAGCTGAAGATTGCCAGAAAGCAGTAATGTGAATAGTACAACAAAGTCTTATTCACCAAAGTCATTGAGAAAGCAATTTTCAAAGCGCGCATCTTAATGACCTAGGTCACTACAACTTGTGCCACCTGGACCGTCTGTTTTGTATACCATTAGTCACCGGTGTACGATGATAATTTACATCTTCTTCTTCCTGTTGTTTTGCAGAAATTTAAATGCCTGGGATTCCGGAGAGATTGAAATGTTTGATTTAGTTGAAGAAGTCAAAGAAAGTTTTTATGATGTTCTTGGGATTCCTCAGGTAGAAATATGAATTCCTGCATCAACTTTAAATGCCTCCAGAGTGCTGACAATGCTGAAATAAAACGTGCATACCGGAGGCTGTCAGCAAAACTGCACCCAGATAAAAACCCAGATGACCCATCTGCAGAAGCTAAATTTCGAAGACTTGTCAGTATTTATGAAGTCCTTAAAAATTCGGAATTGCGCACGAGGTAAATTTATAAACCCCCTCATCGTAGATTCTCTCAGATATGACGAAGTGTTGGAAAATGGTTTGCCTAGCTGGCGAACTCCTGTGTTTTATTACAGGAAACTCAGGAAAATGTCTAATTATGAGTTGTTTGGTTTATTTTTTGGGATGGCTACCGTAATACATTATGCTGTTCTTTGGGGATCTGTCTTTGAAAGGAGACTAACTTTGGTATGTGACTTGAGTGATTTATATACCTGCTAGGAAGATCAACTCAGCAGTTCTTTGAAACGTCACAAAGCGCGTGATCGAAAGTTAGAATTAATAAATCAAGAGATATCTGATGAACTTCAGAAAATTCCTGGTCCTGGTTGGATAGATCTGCTTCCATTCGCTATTATCAGATGGGTACATGCCATAATCACCTTCGTCCCCATTCTGTATACGTTTGTAAAAGAGAAAGTTACTGAAAAGATACAGGAGCACCGTGAACTCAAGGAAGAGATGCGAAGTAAGTTTCAAAGAATCTTTTATACGCATTCGTGAGTACAGTTTTCCGATAAACGGTTGTTTACTTTTCTAACCCTAAGACTTGTTAATAATTGTTAAAGATTTATCCTAATTCTTTTGCATGAAGTTAAGTTTGTTTCAAAAGAACCAAAAAGTAGACTACCAGTCTCTTGTCTTTTCTGCCCACAAGGGAGTACCACTCTAAATGGCTGTTTAAAAAGTTGTATGTCTAAAGCTTATATTGAATTCTACTGTTCCCAAACTAAAGGTCTAATAAGTTGCTTTTTCAACTGACTCATCCCTTCTGTCGTCAGTAGCAAGGCGGAGGTAGGAAAATGTTGCTTAGATGTATCTCTAAGCTTTCTGTTTTGATTCTGTACTTCTTACCTCTCTTCTTTCTACATAGCTCTCCCATCTTGTTGATGACATTATTTTAAATAGCACATTTCTTATTGCACATTTATTAAGTTTGTCTAAAATAGGGAACTTTTCTTATGGAGTCTAAATCTTTCTATCTGGGGATACGTGTTTCTCATTTCATTCTAACGGCTTATGATGCTGGGCGAAAACGATTTAGATATGATTTACTGTGTTTTCGCTTTGTTGATTTCTTTTCGTTGTGCTACTGTGAAATATGGCAGCTTAAATCATTGAGCTATTTTCTCACTTTCTATGGTTTGTCTAGTGATTCGATTGTTTTTCATTATCACTCACTACAATCTAGTAACTGCCATTTCGGTTGTCACTCTTTACGGTAGATAATTGGGAATTTGTCCTTTTGTAGAGATAGGTTCTCGCTATCTCAGTGTTTCACCAAAAAATCAACAGACAAATGGCGTGAGTCCAAGAGCTTCCTGCTGGTTGACTCCCATCATCCAAGTGCCAAGAATCTATCCTCTAGGCCGTTCGGATCCGTCTTTTTCGTCACTAGTGTTCACGTAACCTTGATAAACATCCAGGGATGTTACGTCATGTTTCTACCTATCCTGGTGGCACTGTGTCCTGTTAGCTGGGTTGGTTAATCTTGAAGCTCCCATTGTTTTTCTAGACAAAAATCAAAACTAGCTTCCATGTGAAGTTATACTGAAGTTAGTCGTAATGTTGTTGTTTAACAAAACAATAAAAACTCCAGAATTAAACCATTCAGCTCAAAGAATGCGATACCAGCAAGATCACTTAATTGACTTACAGAAATTTTGCATCATTTTGTTTCTACCTATATTTCAGTCATTCAGGAAAACAAAGAGAAACTGAAAGCTGAAAAACAGCAACGTAAGCGTCGCTTACTCCATGAACAGACAAATCTTCGAGAAATTGAAAAAGAGGCTGGTCAATCGACCATTAAATCTGTCCTTATGGATTTACCTGATGTAGAAACCGATGGTCCTGATGAAGTTTCGAAAACCAAACCAGGTGACTGTGTTTATCGTGAGGTATGTTCCTTTCAAACCTCCAGTAGTTTATAGTACCTCAGTCAACGCTTTATACAAATACTGTTACAAAAAAAAACTACTAAGTTAGGAATCATTTTAGTTTGTTTAGTATGGTAAACTCACTCACACTGTTTACGCATAGAACAAAAGGCAACTGTAGCACGACCATGATTTACTCCAATTTTGAAATATATTTTAATTTTTATTTTTTTTATTTTTTATTTTATTTTAATTTTTAAATTGTACTATAGATTCATAGACTTGAATTCAATAAAATCCTGGCATTCAAAATATACTGTTATATCCTTTTCAAGGAAATATCGCTTTCTTTTCGCTATGCAAGCATTCTGTTTCACTTTCCTGTGAGATTAATTTGATCACTAGAAATTTTTTTGGGTTCGTTTTCGTCTCTAGGAGTTTATAGGAATTTTGGTTTTTGCAATACAAAATTTGAAATGACTGCGTTTGATACTATTTCACCACGTTTACTTATCTAGTAGACCCTAAATAGTTCTAAGCAGGGAACTATATATATATATATATATATATATATATATATATATATATATATATATATACGTATAATAGGTCAGAAATCGTATAGTTCATCGCATTGTCCAATCATATCTGAATTATTATTCATCCACTTCATGGTGCATCGATGCATCCGATGCATGAATCTAAGCCTCTGTGCATCTATGTGTTGTATTTTAGACAGCTCGAATCATACTTCCATGCGAAACGTTAAAATTTCTTATTACAAACATGTTGAGAATTGTCCAAATATAACTTATACCTAATCATGTCAACTTTTCACTCTCCATCCAATATTTGTGAAACTATCTGCTCATTTCTTGACCAGGGTTCATATAAATTATTTTGCAATCGAACCATATTATCAAAGGATCTACTTTTATTCTTGTTAGGGCTCATCATCAACGTATATGTGCAACGTCGAAACACCTAATTCTTCTCCAGAAATTTAAACCCACTTAAGAGACGTTACCGTTGTGTTTTCCGAGTTTCTACTGACTTTTTGTTAGATTGGAAAGTGCACACTGGTGTTCACTGAGGTAATTAGTAAATTCTGTCGACCAAGGGTGCAATATGGTCACCATGCTAAGCAATCCGTAAGAGGGGTAATGATCCATTTGTTATGCTGGAATTACTAGTCTCAGTCTTCATATGACTTAATCATAGTTGCATTGTCTGCCTCTAACATCTCAAAAATTGATTATTCCGTCGAAGACTCCTCGGTTCAAAATACAGGCGCTTGCAAAGCAGTCCTTTAAACACATTTAAACACTGCTTCGAATGTGGTGTGGATCAGTACCTAGTTTTACACTAGAAATCGAGGGTTCGTATGTGATGAAGTCTCAGCAAAGATACAAAAGGCGCACTATCTTCAGCATAATAAGTGTAACTGAATATCTGTTTGATACCAACTATAACTTATGCAATGGAATGTAACCATTTAAGGTAGAAAGATTGCGAAAGCTCTGTTTACGCCACACCACTGTCAGATCGTAGTACAGTCGGATAACCAGTACTGGTGCCAGGCGCAGGTTACTAAGATTGGTGTACCATGATATCAGGTTCGAAAATACTAATCGATTAAAGTGGCTAGATTATATGTGAATTGTGAACACATGTGAATTGTTATTATATTTCAACTTATGCTAGTTTCATCATCATCAAGACCAACGAAGCGCTAGGCATTACCGCGTAACAGTCCACGTTGCTACACCTCATATCAGCCCATCAAGTAACAAGACAATAAAATGAGAGATAAAGAAGGAAAGAAAAATCGCTCAAAAGGAGTAGGAATAGAAATTAGTGAAACGGAGGAAAGAAGGATGAGAAAATGATAAGATTAAATATATTGGTTAAGTGGTTAAGAATAATGCGTGTGTGAGCACATGCGCCACTGACGTCGGTTCTCAGCCATATCACCTAGAGTTTCCAGCTACTAATTTCTCTTGTCCCACACACCCCAACCGGCTAGTGTGCATCGCCCTACATGGCTCAAACGAACAGTAAAGGACTTCACGCATTGATGGCATGTTTTAGTCCGGCCCCTTCGAGCTTTTTTCCAGCTTGAACGTACTTCGACCAACATTGTGTGACGAGACAGATAGTGATAATGCTAGTTTAGGATGAGATTGTAGTTTCCTATATCTTGGGACGGTTGTTCCGGCTGAATGCGGGATTGTATTATTCAAAATAAGAATTCTAAAGGCAACCGAAATGTGGGATCACTAACTGAAAGGATTTGGTCTAAATAGTTAGGAGCACTACAGATGTGTCCAAATAATGTCTTTCTTCAGATCTTCAACATATCCTACTCTAAGTTGTTCTCCTGGCCTATTTTTCTATTTCCTTACGACTCTTCTTATCACTTCAGTACTTTAATTTTCACTTTAATTTCTTCCAGCTGCACTGTTCTACAACGTGGTGATAAGCTGCCTTGTCAAGAACTGTATATTCTCAACTGTGACCCGTTTTTATCAATGAACTATCTCCTTTGTTTTTCAGTGGTCAGAAAAGGATGTCAGCAGTTTGGTTCGTGCTGTTGTCCGATATCCTGGGGGTGTACCTGGAAGATGGGAGCGTATTGCAGAATCATTAGATCGCAGTGTCCCCGATGTTGTTCGTAAAGCGAAATCCATGAGCAAAGAATTGATGTCTGTTTCTCAAAGAAGTAAGTACCTTTTACTTTAGAAAGATTATATAGAACTTTATTCTTTCAGGCAAATTTTCATCTGTAGTACTTCGTGATGAAATTATTAGTTAATTATTCAACTTTATGAAACAGCTTTATCCACATGAACTGATTGCCAAATAAGTAACTATGAGAATCCCATGGTCTCTCATTTTGGTAGACGTTTGGTTAAATGATATGTGCTTTGGCTACAAAGTTTGTTCCGTATTAAGTTTATCGTCTCACCCAGTTCACTGAACATTTAGTGGCACAATATCACTTTGACTCGTATCTAAAGAAATTAATCCTTGCTAGACATTCTTGAGTAGAATAGTGTGACAGCCTCGACATTAAATTATTTCTACTGCAATCACTGATAAAAGTTTCAGACAATTGCGGAACTTCAGTTCAGCACTAACTTTTGCTTCTGAACACAGCCTCTATAGTCAGAGGAGTGTTTATTGCAAAACAAACGTTATGATCTGCGCACAATGACAAAAACATTGTGGTTTCTTTGCTGAGTGTTCTAATCATTATATAGTACTATTTGCTTACAAACTTGATGATTGTATTATTCTTAACTAGTAAACCAGCTAGACAGATCATAACAGAACTTTCCTGAAAAAAATCCATAGCTTTCAGTTGGCAATTTTCGCAGAAAAATGAAGAAGATCAACGAAATGGAAAAGCTTTGAAACTGAACAATACGTACACGAAAGAAAAGAAGATGATCCAAGAAATTTAAAGTGGTGTGTTAGAAATTTTGAATTGGCTGGTGCTGACTGAATTTCGCCGACCATTTTGCAATGTGGCCAGCAGGCTAGGAGGCTGACTATCGCGCTGCACTTTGATGAATGGTAATTGGTTGGAGGCAATCGTCAGCAGTGTATATCTGCAACCTCTATAGAACTGACGTCCCCTTTGAGATTTCAACCCCCATCATCCAGTGTTGTAGTCAGTGTCATTGCCACTGAGCTGTTCGGGCATCGACTTATCTGCTGATTGCCGCCACCCTACCAACATTCAATATGGTTTAAAGGCTTAACTTTCCAACAATTAATCTAGGTTTCAAACTCTGCTCTACTTAATTCGACCTAGGTAGCCGATTAGCATCATTAACCAATTACAGAATAACCATGAGTTATAGTTTTTAGTGTATAAATGCCTGTACTGCGTTGAGTTGCATTACATATTTGAGTGCATTTGCATCTTTATGATAAACTTTGAACTTTTTTGTTGAAGTTCTTCGGTCATTGTTTGCAAATATTTCACTGACGTGTAAATTTCGACAACAACTGTTAGTGATCACATGGATTTTTGCTATCTCTACACTTGAATTTAATCTCAGCCCAATCAGTATCGCTCATTGGGATAGATGACAGCTTGCTATGTATAAAGTATCCCTATGCCACCTCGGTCACTGTAGGTTTACAGCTTTATCGTCTAAATTACCTTCCTTGCCTAAACGTTTTGGTAACTACCGTCAACATTGCTGGCTTACTATTTTTATCAATTGTGGGTAATACTTGGAAGATATTTATTATCCGACATCAGTGAAAACATTTCAAAATAGTTTACAGACTGGACAGTATATTCTATTGTATAGCTGATCAGAAGTGTATAGTCATACTTATATTCCTTTTAAAAGGAGGTTAATTCCACTAAACTTGTTGAGGTATGGAGTCAACATGATACTACAGTATAAGGAGGATCACTGACGAGTGAAGATTAATTTATGGAGAAGCAATTGACTCCTCCCCCCCCCCCCCTAAAACAACTAAAACAGTACATCCTAATGGTCAAATTTTTGATTAGAAATATTTCCTCCTTGATAAATTTCTCTTCTTATTAATAGATGGTTAGATTTTGTCAGTTTATGACGTTTTACAAGTATTTTACTACCATTCAGGGTTTTCAGATCACATTTTCTATTTTCTATTGTTATGTTTAGACTTAAGTTTGGCTACAAAATGTTCGGATAAAACTTGATGTCTCGGAAGTTGAAAGTATGCTGTATCAGTTACATTATAATGCGCTTATAGCAGAGTCGAATAGAGGGTGGGAATGAAACGTGTCTAGTTTTCGAGTCTCGAGGTCAGATTAGGCGCTAAATGATTACAAAAACGAAAGTTGCTAGACTTATTCTTCTGTGGCTGTTTTGACAGAATTCTCACCCTTTTTTCCCAAAGTTGCTCAACTTTAATGATCAGTGTGTGTAGATGCCATCTGTAATCTTAGTTCTCGAACTCCTTAATTACACCAGTGAGTTATAGGTAAGAAGTTATAGGACGCTTACTGGTTTTTTAATAAATCATTAGCCAACGTTTGAAAGTATCCTGACCAGCAATGGACTGGATGGTTTGAAAAAACTTGGGCACTGAGTTAGTGTAATTCATAGTATAAGGTGTGTTTTTACTTATGTAATCCCGGCGTTGAGCAATAATACAAAATATTTGTTTATTTTTTTTATTTGTCCTAATATACTAAGCCGAGATTACGCAGGTAAAAATGCACCTTATACAATGAATCATTAGCCAACGTACTGCAAATAGTCACACTAATATGTAACACCAGTCCTTTGACCGTTCAGCTGTCTATCTTACTAGTGTAACTGACAACAGCTCGCTGGTCGGTTTCTGAGGGATGGAAAAAATCAGTGTTTGTGGATATCAGATAAGATTGTTTTAAATAGATTCCATTTGGGGGCAAATGCAACCACTTTATCTTTCTCCAGGATTGGTCTTCAACGGTACCTCGGCTAATAATAGAAAGTGTAGTGGTTGAATATTTCGATCACTTTACCTACCTTGGAAGTAGGCCCAGCCCTAGTGGCTCAGTGGCCGACGAGATTTCTGCACAGATACAAAAGGCTGGGCTGGCTTTTGCCGACACGCCACGTGTGGCACCGCCGTGATATCCGATTGTCTATTAAGGGTCGCGTGCACTGCACAGCAGTCTGCTCTGTTCTACTGCATGTCTGGGAAACATGGCCATTGAAGGTAAAAGGCTTCAGGTGTTTGACCACCGTTGCCTTCGTAGTATAGGCCGTATTCTGTGATATCACCACATGAGTAATGTATACTTCAGGTGTAGAGCTTTAGGGAGAAGAGGTAAGTCAGTTGACACGGTTGTGAACCTTCGTCGACCGAGATGATTGATACATGTATTACGTATACCTAGTCACCATCTGCCTCGTAGCACAATGTTGGCCGAATTAGGTCCAGGCTGGAAAAAGGCTCGAGGAGGCCAGACCAAAACATGGCATTAATGTATGAAGTCTCTGACTGTTGGTTGGAGCCATATGGGGGTGTTGCAGACTAACTGGTTGGGATCTGCGGAACAAGAGAAACCAGTGGTTGGAGGTTGGAGGTGATGTGGCTGAGAACCGATGTCAGTGGCGCAGATATATACAGACATTATCCTCATCTTAACGCTATGCCGAATCTCATCATTTTCTCATTCTTCTTTTCTCTCTTTTAGTACTTTATATTTCTTTCGACTGGATTTTCTTCTCTTTACCTTCTACTTCACTGCCTTTTTAATTGATGTACTGATATGAGGTGTGAGAACTCGAACCGTTACGCAGTAATGTTTGGCCTTATGTTGATAGATGATGATCTCTGTAAACTGAATACTTTATTCTTACTTTTACCTAACAGCCTTTTTTGACTCAATTTCTGTGTATTATGCATGCCTCTGGCAACCATAACTAAAGCACAAGTGTGTCAATTTTTTCATCCATGCACTCTTGTAGTTTGATAAGAATCCTGTAAATGTTCGATTAGTTTTCCACACGAGCTATAGTTTTTCTCAGATAGGTACTATGTCAATAGATCACTTCTGCAATATTTACACTGCTGCTTTTCTCATCTAACTTATCGGTGGAGCTGTGCCTCACGACAGTAGTATACAAAGAAAAGGGGAATAGAAAGAGAGTGATATCGAAGTACACAAAGTTGTACGAGAAAATAAACAATTTGGAGATAATGGTCAGTGCGGATATTCAAACTTTAAAAGATGTCACGGACTGAATACATCTGCGCCATTGTGACTGACCGATTTTCAGCCATGTCACCAAGACTTCTCAATCACTGATTCCTGTGGTCTTGGGTACCCCACTTAAGCAGTCAATATCTCACACAACTCAGACCAACAGTTATGAACTACTTGGATTGATGCCATGTCTTGATCTGGGGACTCTGAGCCCTGTTGCAACTTAATCACACTTCCCATAATATGCGGCGTCCAGGTAGGTTGTAACTTGGGATTCGCACTACATGTCCAAGCCATCTCAGTAAACTGATTTACGATCAAATCGCCTGTCTTGTCTCGTACCATTGGCCTGATGTCAACATTGTTCATATAGTGATTCCATCGAATGCATGCAATGCTACAAATGCAACTGTGTTCAAAACCCTGTGGTCGCTCCATGTGTCAGCCGTACAACAGGACAGAACAGAGTGCAGTGAGTGGCGCTGTATACTCTTCCTTCGATAGATAATGGGATCTTTCGTCGGTGCCGGAATTCGGTAAATGCCAAACGGGCCTTCTGTATCTGAGCTGAGACTTCGTCAGCAACCAGTCCGTTCGGGCTGTTGGAACTTGACAAGCAAGAGAAGTGGTCGACAGATTCCACCACTTCACTACCTATCCTTAGACTGGGAGTACTTGCGGCAGACCAATCCTTGAGCATCATCTTACATTTGACAGGTGCCAATGAAACCCGTACCAAACATACTCAGATTTCTGCTGAACACTTTCAGAAGAGTGTGCATTTTGTCTGCGTCTTCACGTAGCTGGACAATATGGTCTGCATGCTGTAAGTCAACCAGATGACCTCCAGAGGATAGGTCGATCCCAGGTGAACCTATGGTTATGTCTATTAGTACGTTTATGGCGAAGTTATATTCGAACAGTGACAGTTGACACCTAGTTGTCGTCAACCCACTTGATAACTCTCTATAAGCCCTGACACACGTCTGCGTGAGTTCAAGTAGAGAGCTTTGATCAGTGTTATATGCTTGCTTGGTACTTCCTTGACAGTCAGACACTGCTACAACACCTCACGATCGACATAACCAAATATCACCTTCAGGTCAATAAATATGGCAAATGTTGGACACCGGCCGGTGACTGTGTTCCACAGCCTGCCGTAGGGTAAAAATATGATCGATGCATCCTCGTCCAGCACTGTCTAAAACCTGCCTGATTTTCTCGGGTTCGCTGTTCCCGAGCTGAAGTTAGACGTCGGATAACTATGAATCCTAGGATCTTGGATACAATATTAGTCAAACTCATTCCTGTATAACTGCCACAAGAAGATTTCTCTTCCTTTTTATAAACTGAGATGATCGGTTAAGTAGACCAGCCTGACGCCACTACCCCTGATTCCCATACACTGCATAGTACCTCCTTCACTTTATTTAGCGATTTCCCACCTCCACCCTTGAAAACTTCGGGTGGGAAGTTGTTAGGTCCTGCTGCTTTGCATCGTTTCAGGTTCGATTCACCTTTTTCAACTTCAAGAAGAGTTAGAGGACCAACATTTACGTCCCATTCCTGGACGTTGGGCAACTGAGGCCTTGCTGATGACCAGCTGAACTTTGCTTCAAATTGTTCTGCTCATCGTTTTAGCCTCCTCAACGTTCCAGTGGGTCACGGGTTCGAACACCATTCCACCTACTGAAGTTTGGGCAGCCAAGTAGTAGTATAATTAACTTTCACACAATAAATGTGGCTCACTGCTTGCTGCACGAATATGCACAACGTTGCTGAGTACATTCCGGTCTGATCAATTGTATAAAAGCGTTACTCGATGACATGATGATATGTTTGCAAATACCTCATCTTGAATTCGTTGAACTGTACCATATGTTGAGTTAATGTGAATTCCTCTCATCTGCGAAAAGTAGGTAGTATAGTAGTGTAATAATTATGATCAAACCAAAAGATGTTACTAATTCATAAAGTGACTGACTGTTGTTCTGAGTTGCATTCAGAATAATAAATTCTGTTTTCAGGGTTCGGAATATTTTTGAATGTATTGTTCAAAATAGTATATGGCCTTACATGATCTGCTTAGTTGTTGCAGGCGCATCTTTTTCTTGATTGTTACTGTTGTTGATTGTTATTTAATCTGTTTCCTGTGAAATTTTACTGAATATTCAAACAAACACTGTCACCTCGTCCGATAGCTGGTACCTTGACATGATGGCCGGGCTAGTATATCATAATGACCCGATGAGTTACATTGGCAGGAACGCTTGTTCCCTCAAGGTCTTACCGTACCGGGAAGGTTTGCTGGATTGTTGTAAAACAAAAAGCGGTTACCGTTGTAGTGTAAATTGCTACATTATAATTTGGGTCCGAGGGTGAAGTCGTACTGCTGGTTGGATGGAGTATGATAGTGGTAAGGCTTTTCCCTTGGATGACCAGCAGTTCCACGCTGAGGCTGCCTTTACCTGTGTGTAGAGGGCGTGGACTGACAGGCCTTCATTAATCTGAAATCACTGCGGAGATCTACCGCATTGCATTGCACTCAGCATAAAGCGTGAACAAGGTCCGGATTTTCAACACCAATGTCAAGTCAGTGCTTCTATATGGTTCAGAGACTTGGTGCGTCACGAAAAGCACTTCGAACAAACTACAGACATTCATCAACGGCTGCCACGTACGATCGATACTAAAGACCAGATGACCAGAAAAAATAAACAACAAGGAACTCTGGGAATGAACCAACCAAGAACCTATCACCCAACAAATATGCAGAAGGAAGTGGAAATGGATTGGACATGCACTGAGAAGGCAGACTGGGGATATCACGCACCAAGCCAGGTCGTCGAGTGGAATCCAAATGGGAAATGACGAGTTGGGCGTCCGAGGTGAGGGTGACATGGAGGAGATCATGTGATAAAGAAATGAAAGCTTATAGGCAGTGGTGGAGCCAGGTTCAAAAGACTACAGAGAACAGAGTGCAATGGAGGCGTGCTATTGAAGCCCTATGTTCCACTAGGAACCTAAAGGACAAATAATAATAATAATAATAAATAAAAACGATACTTATGTTTAGTTGCACAATCTTGGTACTTAGAAGAAATTAATTCGAACCATTTATGTTTTCCAGCATTTTGAGGAATATCTTTGTTTATCTTAGTTGTTGGCATACTGGGGCTAAATGTGTTTTATCCTTTATGATGTGAAATATTTAGACATAAATCCTGATGAGATCCCAGTTTTTGAGACAAATGTAAACCCTGCTTGCGGAGAAACAGATTCAGAAGAAAACGGCGATGAGTCGGATGGTTCGAATGAAAGAACTTCAACTGTCAACTTATCAAAGAAAAGACTTCGCAAACGTTTATTACGACAAAAAGAGCAGCATGCATTAGTCAGTCAGGAGAAGGAGGATGAAACCGATAAAGACTTCGATCAAATTAACACTACTGATGATTTGTCGTCTGGTAAGTTATTTTTATCATTTTTTAGTCCCTTGTTTCGTTGGTAAATAATCACGTTTTCTCGTCTTATTCATTTGGCGGTCGTAAAAAGTAACCATATGAAACCGTTTTGGTTGGATGGTTAAGGAAATTACAGTGTAATATGTTTGATCTACGATTCACTCATAGAGAACATGGTCAGAACAACAGTTGGAACGATTCAGCTGAACTCAAACCACACTTCAGTTGTCCGCTATCCAGTCACATATTAACTCCAACATTGCGACGCTCTTTGATAATTTGCCGGAGTTCTGAAGTTCGCAATTAAGTGAGATACGGAAAAACAGGAAGCCCTGATGACTTGACACAAAAGGTATTTAGGAAGAGCGACCAAAGAATATTGTTCACATTTATTGAAATGTCAGCTAGCGTATGGAAATCACATAATTTTTACTCTGATTGATATCAGCCACTGATGATCTCACTTCGCAAGAAATAGGAAACGTCTTGTAATAACCACTGTGACTTGCATAGTACCTAGTATTCTAGGTTCCAGGATCAATAAACGTCACAGTGAAGCTCAGAAATAGCGAAGTGGAGAAAACCAGTTAAGTTTCAAACCTATTCATGAATGTATCCCCCAGATGTTCACACATACCCACCTACTGGCACCCGACACTAGCTGTTTATTGACTTGAAGACAGCATTTGACTCGATCAGTCGAGTAGCCCTGTGGTAGTGTCCCAGTGAAAGGGGTACCAGGTAAGTGTACCACCCAGATAAAGACTTTCTACTTATAGTACGTTATCGAACTTATTGCGTAAAACACTTTGGTCTCTCTTCCGTGCGCTGACTTAGGCCAGTTAGATAGGTCAAGCTAAACGATAAGGGGTCACTTGGGTTAGGGAAAGTAGGCTAGTAAACTCTAGCCACATAATAAATTTACAAAAGAGCTCAGACAGCTACCCATGGTGTAATATACAGTAACGCAGCTATATGGGATGAGGTGAACATTTTAAAAGGTATATGGAAACAGAAATGGTTAACTGAAGTTTAGCTTATCGAATCGACAACTGGCATATACTAAACGAAAAGGAAGATGAAACAATAACGAAATTTGATAAGACTACGACGTAGAAATACATCTACACTACTTCGACCGATTCTGAACCGTATCGTTCGGTACTCAAACACCAGTTTCTGTTATCACACAGACCGAACCGGGAGGTCTGCATTCACTTACATAGTTCAGACCAACAGCAAAAGACTTCATGAACTGATACTATGTTTTAGGCACGTCACCTTTAACATTTTTTTCATCCTTAACTAACTTTAGTTAACACTGTGCGATGGGGTAGATGGTTAGGGTCGTGGCAAGTCATCAGCTCGGAGAGATCAGGATATACTGGTGTAGACCAGAAGTCCCCACAAAGATGCGTTGTACACCGGAACTTTTAAAGCTAGAACAACCTTGTAATTGCATCAAAATTGACTCATATTGGTGTATGCTACTCTCTCTTTCGAGCTACGGTTGGAAATCTGACCAGTTATACAATTGTAGAGGCACGCACTTTTCGACTGCTTCCGATAACTCACCGCCAATGTTGAGTGTAGGTAAAGGCTCTTACCAATCTTGTAAAAACACCTTACATTTCAACAGTGCGAAATACATATCAAACTTACACATACTTATCGCCGACTGACTCGGTGAAATTTCAGTAACTTGGTTGTTCGCCCTAAAATGTTAGAGACGTTGATTTAAAACATAATTCTGAAAACTTTATGATTTCATAGATTAAATAGATAATATATCTTTAGGTTAGTATCTGAAACCAGAAGGTTGTTTGTAATGTCTAATGGATGTTTTTTCATAGGATCACTAGTAAATTACAAATATTTCTTAAAGTATGCCATTATTTCATTATTAATATGAGTCGAATTGGTTCTGTTCCTGAATATATACCGATTATTTACTCCCTGTATGTTCAATTACGGTTATCTTTGTAGGATTACTAGCATCTGGTGGAAACACTAATAATAATATGAAGCGGTGTTCTTTCTGGGTGTGAGGGTGGCTGTCATCCATTTAGTGAAGTCATCTTGAAATACCGGCTTAAACACGTGTGTCATAAACGTCATTGCAGCGTTTACTGCTCGCTTGCCCTGGGACTAGTTGGTGGAAACAGAGAGTAGTGGTCAGCACGCGATGTGGTGGTGTATGATGAAGATCAGTTGCGTTGAGTTAGCACATGTAGATTCCTCACTACTCTCTGGATGTGATCAAATGGAAATATCTCGCATCTTAGTGATCTGAGTCGGTAGTTGAATCGAAACCAGTTTTTGTGGTTATGCTCCAGTCATTCTATTCTTTCTATTATTGAAAGTGAAACGAGAGTATTGAATGCTTTCTTGAATGTATTTCTCAGATTTCTTCTTTAACGATCCACTTGGTTTTGCTTTTGTATTTATTTTCTACTCTTTACATTGCTTTTATGTCTTGTTGGTGTGGTTATATAGTTTTGAATGGAGTCCATTTGCCTCAGTAACTTTGCTGTTCAAATACAGTTAATAGTTCTTTTTTAGGGGTAGTATTCATCACAGACTGACATCAGTTGGGGAACCACTGAATATCTGGGAACACTGGACAGCTGTTTCGTCCTGGTATGGGACTCCTCGGCAGCACCCACCCACAACCCGGCTAGGAATCGGACTCAGAACCTTTAGGCTTCACGGCGAACGGGTTAACCATTCACTCACCGGGTCGGAGTTCAGTGGTTTACAGTTCCCAACTTCTGTCAACTCACGATATAGCGCGACTATCACCAAAGGTCTTCGTTTGACATCCACTTCTCTTCCAACTGGTTGACCCCACAAGTCAAAACTTCTCATTAGAACTTTGTGATATCCATCTGGAAGCATGTCACTAATGAGCACTATACAGCAATGTATTTTTGAGATGAATGGGGATTTTTAATTCAGAAGTAGTATTCTTCACGTGTTACATATCTCCTTGTTCAATTTACATTGAAACTATTAAGTTCAATGGTTTGGTCTATATCGTGATTGATTGAATTTTGTTTTAATTGTTGCAAGTAATTTCATGCTTAAATCTCCCATTCATAAGTTACCTTTTACAAGTAATGTTTATGCTTTTTTGATGTAGCAGACAGTTGATGAAGGTACAGTGAAACGTTATTCATCTTCTTTGATAAGTATTGGCTAATTTTTAGTTGCTTCTTTTTTAAATTGAATTATCCATAATTGTATAGATGTTATCATTGTTGACGAACCATATATGAGTCGTAAGAAACTCAAACAGCAGAAAGATGTAACCACTTCCAAGCATACAGAGCATAAACCTTTAAAAAGTGATGACGGTTGGACTAAAGTAGAACAACAACAACTCGAGGTTGCCATACGCTCTATTGGTAAAGGGACACCTGAACGATGGGATCGTATTACTGAATGTATCCCTACACGAACAAAGGTATGTTGTTTCGATATTGTTTAGCATTTCTAATATATGAATTTACTATCGAGTTTAATGTTCATTATCGTCAAGTGTTTCATAGGACTATTGGAATTCCTTTGTGGTGTTTATCAGAAGAGTTTGATTCGTAGTAGATTTACATCAGAAGTAGTGACCTCACTATCTATCCTAACTCCAAGTTAATCAGCTAAATGTGACTCCTGATAAACCTTATAGGTCATAATTGTGTACATTCCACCACGAAAGGTTCATAGGTGTTGTGTCATTTCGAAATGTTATCACGTTTTTCCTTCATTTTCAATCCTTTACTTGAAACAACATTAAACGTTTTATAGTCAACTCTGTAACGTCATGAAAGTAAATAGATTACTTCACAATTCTGTTTATCTATCACTTTCATAAACTAAAGTCATGTGATAAACCACGCATTAAAATAGCTATAAGATCTACGAAACATCTGTTTCAACTTGTTGCTATCCTAGTTTATCAGTTACCACAATGTATTCTACAAAACTTGGTCCGAAGCAATTCATGCCATTCTGAAAACTATGCGATAAAATACACAAATAAACTACGACATTCAAGAGGTATCAAGACATCCGCATGAGAGTTTGTCTGCCAACAGGTCGAGCAATTCGACCCAATAACTGATACCCATTGCACAAGAGGTGATCCTAGTGCCTCAGTGACGGTGGGTACTTGGCTGCAGTCTCACTGGGAACTTCATCACTCACTATGGTGTAGGTGTATCCAACTAACAAGTTCCGAAGAGGACGAGACGCATGTCTTGGATTCCATCACTGGTTATCAAGTCAACTACGATATAAGTTCACTGAAACTACATATTGGTCTTACATTGTAAATCTGGAAAGCCAATTATCATCATTCAGTGTTTACAATAATAAACAATTATTAAATTTTAAGGATGGACACTGAATATAATTCCGTTCATTGGATTTTATGTAGGTGGACATCTACTCATACTATGTAGTAACGATGTCATTATCATTGTATTTCGAGAAAAATGGTGGTCATTTCAAGAATTACTTTCATCTGTTATTATAAATCAATTAAAATCAAATCCATAACTTTTATTGGTCGTTTGAATTGGAATAAATAAATAAATAAACAACTATTTTGATTTAGGTATCGAATCACATATTCCAAATAGATAACATCAAGAACGACTTGATGAAAACAGCTAATGTCCTGCATTTAATGCGATTTTAAATTGGCGAACTAAAAAATATCCAATGAATAGATAGGCTTTTTCAACAAAGTTGTTTCATAATGGTGTCTGTCTGTGTAATAAGAGTAATAACTTTAAAAGAATAAGGTAAAAAAGAAAAGAAAAATAGTGTGAATAAGACATACACGTTCAAGATTCAATATGATCAAACGGGTTTAGGCATCTGTAATTCTTTCAAATCAATCGTTCACTACATTCAAAACGTACATAATGTATTCACATGCCTGTCTGATTACAGTTATTTGAATGAGGTGTCATTTTACCATTTTGAGTTTTATCACTGACGATTAACACTCATTGATGATTAATATTTATCATTGAGATCACTAACCTTTGTATCTTACTGCTGGGGAGCTGTCGCTCGTTGGTCTAAACATTTGACTTTCAATTCATATGTTACAGGTTCAAATCCCGCTCCCATCTACTGACCTCTGAGTAGCCAGGTAACATCGTTTGCCTTCTCCCAATAGGTATGGCTCGTTGCCTACCGCGTGAAGGTACATATAGTTACCGAATGCATTTCGCTGCGTATACTGGTCATATTTTTGACATCATTTATTCGTACTGAACACCCTAACTTATTTGTATGTCACAGTAAATTGATAGACATATTTCAACTAAAACTGTGCTGTGTTAAAAACGTTGACCAGTAAAATTCAGTCTGTTATTTGAACAGTAACATGGTGGTTTTTGAATCGATCCTTCATAGATTTGTACATCCTCAATGCTTTAGCATTTACTGAATCTTCTCAACTGCATTCCTCTTATGCTAATTGTGACAAAACTTCACCTGTGTTCGAATCGTAAACAGTCAACTAATTTCACAACATTTTGAGTTCGTATCTAAGACTACCTTGATGTGGTGGTTGTGGTACCATATCACAGTGACCCAATGAGTTATACTTGTCGGAACACTTATTCTTTTGAAGTCCTACCATGTCTTCAAGGTCAGTTGTATAGTGGTAGGACACCAGTTATGGTTATGATGTAAATTACTACCTTATGATTGGGTCCAAGGATAAAGTTTGGCTGTTGGCTAGATGCGATGTGACGGATGACTAGCAATATTGTCCTAATGCTGACTTCCTATATAAAGGGGGTGTTAAACAAGTTCGGCCCTGAAAATAACACACATAAATACACTATCTTGTTATCTTCCAATGTCAGAGGTATGGATATTTTAGCTGGCTGCAGATTAATCAAAACTGAACCTGAAATTTTTGAGGTGGTCATGTGTAAGCAGTTCCTTTGACTCTTCAGTCACGCATCACTATTTACTAACCTGATTTTTTTTCATGTACTTCAAGAAGAAGAAACTTTCTACTGTATGGGCAGCTGGAAGGCGTCAACTGCTCTCACAATTCTGTCAGTACTTGACTTCCTTCAGATCATAATCAGTTTACAACATCACCTAATCTTTACTCTTGTTTCTCAATCAGTGTTTCTATGCTATCTTTAACGTCTAATACCAAATTACACTATTGTCGTATTCCTCCTTTTTCCCTTATCATGAATTTCTACTTCTTATGACTGCATTCTTCATTTCTGTATTTTTCATCTTGGTGTGTTCTCGCTGACTAGAGGTGCTGTAACTTTAAAAGTTACGCAGAAATATTGGGTCTCATGTATTAAACTAAGTAACTATTATATATCTAAAGCTTAGTGTAACTATCTGCACATCTGTCAACATGCCACTAGCAAATAACTTCATGTTTTTCACTTCTTTGGTACTTTTTTCTCATTGCTGGCTAATATTTGTGTTTACAGTTTTTCAGCTGTCGGTCATATTAGTTCACACGATTGCTTTAAATCTAGACAGATTTGCTTGCCAACGAATGATATGAAATTATGATAAACCCATTGCATGTTACATCTACAGTGAGGAATTCATATCAGGGCTCCAGTTTCTGTTTGATTTAACTCATGGATAGGATATGATTAAAACTGCACCTTTCTTAAATTCTTCGTGGTGATTTCACTGAAGAGTATATTGATAATGGATGATGATTGAAGGTGAAATGAAAATTCGTGCTGCAGCAGGATTCGAACTAGCAACCACCATGTTTCCGACCCAATGCTCTACCAACTGAGCTGTAAGACCAGACTGCTGACCAGATTTTTATTTCACTTCAATCACCAAGGGTTTTTTCCCCGACTACTATGCAAATTCGTAACGCGTTACTACCACTTGATCGTACTCACACTGGCTGCTCAGTCAAAACCTCTCATTCCAATTGAAATCTAACTGAATTCAAGAAAGGGAACATCATTTTGACTATCTGAGATAGCTGTAGTTTGGCAGACTAGTATTTATACTGGGTAATGATTGAAAATGAATTGTTAGTCAGTTATCATAAGTGTATGAGACTGTTTTGGCTTCAGTTTTGTTTACATCAATTTTAGTGAAGTTTATGGGGACTAGTGCATTGTTAAATGATATTCTACAAGTGTCAAACTTCCCAGTAAATTGAAATTCTAGACTGATTGCATGTCCATCATTTCACATATTAGAGCTTTATGAATTAATATGACAATCTATTGGATACCTTCGTGTGTTGGATGGAATAGATCATAAAAATCTGTGCCACTGCTTCACAGCTCCTTCGCTATCAGATTCCTTGTAATTTCATGCATTAACTTGAATGTAAGTAATGAAATTTCAAGCATTTTCCAATTAGGATTTTATCTAGAAATCTTGGTATTACATGCTGTTTGTATCTAAACATACAGGTTCTCCGACTAATGACAGCCACCCACCTTGTAGTCAAGAAAACCGAAACTGACCTCATATGAAGCACCGACTTTGAAGAAACATATTGAATAGTTTAATGATGAAGGCTTACATATCATGGGCAGTAAAATGACAATAGTTTGTGGATTAAATTACAACTTTAGCTTAATTTATTCCAATGAATTTGTTTTCAGCAACATAGACCTAAACAATCACTACATGCTGCTTAACATTGTGTGATACTTATCCTAAGCTTTGTCATCGGTCCATACCAGGATTGAATCTAACTTTACATTCTCTATGTAAACAGCAGAAACTTATTGAATATTTGTATGTTTGACAATTTTATTTATGCTCGGCATTTGATATTCTATGTACTTTTACCGTTTATGCTACTCATTAATTGAAGTGTTGAGGCTTAATCACCATTGCCTGGTTAAAGATTATACTAAGTGACCAATACCTGCGTTACTATTCATTATTGTTGTATAACGAAAGGCTTATTATCTAACATTTGTGACCAGCAACATACGAATAATTGCATCCTCTGTATACTGTGACAATTTATTCTTTTTAAATTTTCAGATATTACCTGTAAAAACGCCATGTGTTCGTATAATTTATTTTATATATATATATATATATATATATATATATATATATATATATATATATATATATATATAATTGCTATTATTATTAAATCTTGTTGAGTAGAGATTCTCAAATTTTGAGGTCATTGAAAGGTTGTATTTCATGCATCCCGTGGTACACTGGCTTACATTAACAAAGAACAGTACCTAAGTGGATTGGAAGATAAATTTAAAGCATTGTTACCCGTTATTGTCTTATTCCTGTATGATTCTAATCTTTTAACTTTTTTTCTATAGGCAGAAGTGATGGCTCATGTAAAATATCTCTCGACGTTAGTTCAACGTAAACAATAGAATTCCAAGTATTCTCTACTAGATTGGTTAATCTCATCATTTAGACTGTGATCCTTTCTTATTAACAATGTGATAATCAGTGTATTTCACAGCATATCTATGCTTTAAACTTGTAAATTATTGTTTGGATAACCTAAAGTTTGTAAACTAGTCATTTCTGTGTGATGATTCTGTTTTTTGATAAATGGAAATCATACATAAAAATGCTGAAGTTTGACATGTCTCTGTTGAAACGATCAAAATATATTCCTGTATAAAATATCAGTGTTCACATACAGGTGAATGTAACGTTGAATAAGAAAGCGAAAAACCATTCATGGATTCATGAATAACGAGAATTCCTAAGGATAAAGTTTACCACTGGTTGCACCTTATACAGTAAGAGCTCTTACATAGAAATATTTGTTTCTCTCACCAGGCGTTCTGCTTTTTGTCGACAATTAAGACTACAGCTAATTGGAGGCTATCGAAGTTGTCTAGGCTGTTCATCTTGTTCTTCAAAGTTTACAGTGTATGAATCTTATGAAGGCATCCAGAATACAACCTTGTAATTTTGATCTACGGAGTAGTTCTCAAATTTCACTGGAAAGACAACTGCTAAGACCAACTTGAGTCACAGTCTCATGAAAATACAATCCACAGAACATTTCGAACATTCATTGCACTATCTAAGTTTTTCTAAAAATGATACGAAGACTTCCGTTTCCGTACCACGATTCATGAGTTACCTACATATAAATCCCATTAAGGGTACACTAGTGAATGAGGATGAAACATTTAGAGATACAGTAAATTTACTGTTCACTTTCGAATATTTTTCTTGCTGGTAGCAAGAGCTGCGCTTCCCACTTATAAGTCGCATTGTACGATGTATCAGAAGCTAAGATAAACATTAATGACCTCAAATTAACGACTTGTCAAATAACCCTAGGCAGCTAATCTTTGTCAATAGACTATCAATTATTATCAGGGAAGGTAAGAGAAGGTATCTCTTGGATGAAAACCTAAAGTAATAACAGCTTAGAAATGTTCCCACAGCATAGTCTTAGAGAGCATGTTTCATAAACATTTCCCGCTTACTATTTATGATATTAAGCTTAGTCACTTGCGATACATGTTTTCCTTGAGGTGATTAGTGTAGCTGTTGTACTATGTTATTTGGATAGCACCCGAAATCTTAACTGTAATTTGTATGCGCTCCAGTGACTAAACCATGATTATAGTATTACAGATGCAGTCGAACAAAGGAAATAAATAGAACGTGAAAGTCGTTCATTACTGTGTATGTGATCAGTAAGTGCTCGTTTATTCTTTACGGTTGTTAATAGCGGCTTGTCCATTCGTTGTTATTTGTTTTCATCGTGTCCAAAAGTGGTCAGTTTTCATGTATTTCCAACC